CCGCCCCCCCCCCTCCCCCCTTGACCGCTGCGACTCGTTCTGGGAATGAGAACAATCCTGCGACTCACCGAAGTTGCGCATGTGAACGAGGACGCGTAAAAGGTGTTCACTTAGGACACTATACAAAGAAGGAAGGACGCACCGCCCAGGGACAGTATGTACGTAGTGACGTTGCGTCGTACGAGATCGTTGACAAAGTCTAACTGCGTTGAGAGACAGTGAATTGTCCAGCTTTGCATTAAGCCATGTTTTGGTGGCAAGGTAACGCGTGCGCACGCGGTGGATACCTGACGCCGGTCCTCAAGGACGCGACCCGTCTCTGTCAGACCGGCTGGTCCGCGTATCGTCTTATGCTTCATCATCTTTGTTCACGTACTGCCCATACACATCGCTCTTTTATTATACCAGAGCCTATGAGCTTGAGCAACGCAGCAACGCTCTGATCGGGTGATATTAGCTCGAAGCTCTTCAACTGGGATCGAACTGGTATGAAGATTCCCAAAAGTGTACGGACGAATCCTGGATGAAGGAGGAGCACGGCTGCGACATCGATCAGTCCCATTCTGGCTCCGTCATGCATACAGCAGCACGATAGCTAGAACATACCTATCTGCGGATTCTCGTGCCAGAGTTTCGCAGCGATCAAGTTTACTGCAGCCTTGGTGCTCCCATAGCACATGATAGGCATGGACAACTTCGTCCCTAGTTCGACACTCCTGGCGCTGGTGGACACAAGGACGAACTTGGGGTTGTAGCTCTTTTTCAGCAGGGAATCTGCAGCTTGGAAGAGGACCAGTGGGTCAAGTGCGTTTCCCTGATTCATTTATCATGATTGTTTCTGATCACAGGATAGGACGCTACCTCGAAGTGCTCCTCCGTGGCGTCCAAAGAGACCCTCTGTACCTGGCTGATACCCGTTCTTCATCCCGGCAATAGCGATCATAACATCCAACCTCCCAACCACTTTCTTGATGGTCTCCACGTTAGCGTCGCCCTCCCCCGCAGCGCGCAACTTTACGACGTAGACTCTGCCGGGGTGCTTGAGCGCGAGCGCTTGTTAGGGCTGAGGCAGACGCTGGGTCGCGTGCTCCGGCGAAGACGATCATATCGGATCGAGCTGTCAGTTGGGTCATGAGAGCCAACCTTGTGAGGAATTCAGTATCGCTTGAGGAACTGGATAGAGTGGCATTCGGACACCGCGGGTTGCGCCCGAAATAAGATAAACTGTAGGTGTCATTCCTATAGATTGTTGCCAGCTGCCGAGACGATGGTTCACGATCTTCGGTCAAGTGAATTGTTCTCCCTTTATACCGTTTCAAAGAGGGTGCTAATCCATCATCTGTAGTTCCTACACCTTCGTTCGCCATCCTCAATGTCCGACAGTCTTCTGTTATAACATCATGTTGTCAAAGAGTTCCTCCCCAACCTGCCTAAGATCGAGGCGGTCGAGACTCGCTACAATCACCCCCGCGAACACGGCAAGACGCTGTTTACGAGCTCACCGAGCAGCCAGAAAGGCGTCACACCGGCTACTCTGGTATCATTGCTGCTCAACCTTGCAGTAGAGCTTTACAAATCCCTTGGTGTGGCACAGGAAGCGACAAATACCGCTGCTTTGGCATCAACAGCACGACACGTCTTCTTGAACTTGTCTATGTAAGTCTTCGAGTTTCCCACGGTCCACTGGATTGCAAGTCAATTGGTTCAGATCGCCACCACCGGGGTGTTTGGAGGACCAGTACCATTTGTCCAGGCTTATCCGTTTCGTCCGCCGTCACGTGATCGCACCAACTCAGCACCACCTCTCTTACGTCCGTTATCGCCAAACAAGTTATCAATTCCTGCTGATTAGGCTGTCGCATTCACATTCCATCGGTTCAAATACCACGAGTCGTGGTGAGCTCAGCATTATCGTATCTTTTTATGGACCATTCTCTAATATGCCGACTTATCACCAGGGCGACATAGAGCCATCCCAGTTGGTGAACTTCGGGCCTTCTCCCTCGCGCTTCTCAGCCGTCTCCAGAACATTCAGAATCCCTTTCGCGCACTCCTCGCTGGTGATCATCGGAATATGGGCCATTTCGGGGGATCGTGCGATGGCGTAGGCTGACATGTCCGTATCCACGAGGCCAGGGTGGAACGAGATGGAAACTGGAGGTCCGTAAGTCGCGGCCTACTTCACAGAAATCAAGCTGAGACGTACTCAGATCAGGGTACTCATGATACAACTTCGCAGACAACCAGTTGACCGCAGCTTTGCTAGTCCCATATGCAGTGGAATTCGCTCGCACCATTGTTCCCCCGGCAATGCTGCCAACATAAGACGAAACAACCGCGAACTTGGGCTTTGAAGTACTCTTTTGGAGGAGTGGATACACATTTTGGAACAGAACAAGCGGACCAAGAACATTGACCTATGTGACCCACATTATTGACGACTAAATTGAAGGAGCGTTGCTTACCTCATAATGTTCCTTCATGGCCTCCATCGGCACTTCGAGAGGTGTATAGAGAGCATTCGAGATGCCGGCATTGGCAATCACAACATCCAGCCTTCCAGCTACCTCTTCAATATTGGCGACCGCAGCGGCGTTGTCTTCCTTGTTCGCTGAGGTGAGCTTCACGATGTGTACTTTGTCTGGGTACTTCGACTGAAGAGCGTGCAGATCTTTGGCTGATGCGGGATCGCGTGTGCCAGCGAAAACGATCGTTTCTGGGAGCGTGGCAAGTTGTGTCACTAGTGCAAGCCCTAATGTGCCTTCAATGCCAGCTTGGCAAGAGTCCAGTGAGGTACGTACCAATACCACGGTTGGTGCCGGATACGAGGTATACCGTTGGTGCCATAGCGAAGTTAGGTGATAGCAGTATCTAGACGAAGCTCGTGGAGAGTGCAGATGCATTCCGCTCACTCGAGGAGCACTTATATCATGACCTGTTATCAATGCAGCAGGGCTGAGAGATGAGTTGCCACGTCACTCTAAAACAAATGAGCCATCTGACACTTTCGCCGATTACCTGCGTACCGTACCTTCCTCGTCCCTGAGTATACAATGAACATTACGAGGTCTTCTGATCGGGAGGGTGGGTTGCTAGGTTTGATAGTTTTTCGTGTCGCACGTATGTAAGGTGCATTCCACAGATCGTCTGATCCGCCTCTGCGGATTGTTCCGCAAGGAAGATCCCAGATGTCAAGAAACATCGGCTCGCTGCTTCTGGTACCTTGAAGTACTGTCATGATGTGGTGAATTGAATGCTACTATATCCTGACATGTACAATCCTCCCGCGCGTGCTCCCCTATCACCAGGTTGATGTCGAACTCTCGAAGTCCAGGAACTTCGGGCTCTTAATCTCTTTCCTGGCCCGCTCCATAGTCTTCAGAATTCCTTGCGTCGTAGTATCGGCCATATCAGGGCCGTCTCTGCCATGGCAAATGCTGGCATGTTTCATAGGCGTGAATTGTGAGGCTTGATCTTTACCATCGCTGTTACTGCTAGTCACTTGAATGCATGTGTATTCGGGCGGTTCAGCATTGAGGTTTGTCTTGCGAAGAGCATACCCGCTGGGAAAAGCACGGGCGTGACGCTCCTTCTGCCATCAACGACTGCTTTCAACATTGAACTTTTCGGAAATCAGATCTATATACAATGGCAAACACCTCACACAGATTCCCAAAGCATAGCGGAACATTGCACCGCTGTCATGGTGACCAATTCACCAAGGCAGGGCGGATCCATCATAACTGGTCATCTTCGGCCCACTCTCATCCCGCTTCGCCGCATCCACCACCTTCAGGATCCCAGCTGCGCTCTCCTCTGTTGTAATCATTGAAAATTTTTCAATCAGCTCAGGCATATGTGAGATCGCATTGGCTGCCATGTCCGTGTCGACAGTGCCAGGGTGAATTGGGAGGGAGACTACAATTTAACAACATTCAGCCAGGCTGTTGCTTGTGGAGGAGTGCGCAAGGGACGTACTCAGGTCGGGATACTCGTAATAGAGTCTTGCTGCCAGCCAGTTGACAGCAGCTTTACTCGTTCCATAGGCAGTGGCTTTGATGGGGGGTACAGTCCCGACCTGGATGCTTCCCAGGAGGGACGAGACAGGGAAAAACTTGGGACTAGAAGTGCTGGTTTTAAGAAGCGGGTATGCAGCCTGGAAGAGGGCGAGAGGACCAAGGACGTTAACCTTCAGGGCGTGAATCAGAAGGCATTTGGAGGAGGACAGCGAATGAATGCGAACCACGAAGTGCTCTTGCATAGCGTCCAGAGGCGTATCCAAAGAGGAATAGAATGCATTCGAGATCCCGGCATTTGCAATCACAACATCCAGTCTCCCAGCAATCTCGCTCACTTTGGCGACGGCTTCTTCGTTATCCTGTTTGTTGGCCGAGGTAAGCTTGACGAGGTAAACCCTCTCTGGGAACTTGGACTTGAGCGCTTGCAATGCTAAGGCTTTGGTGGGGTCGCGGGCACCAGCGAACACGATCACGTCGGGACGAGCTGCCAGTTGTTCCACGAGGGAAAGACCTTGATAAATTAGTGAATATCAATAGATGGTGGGGTCAACAAAGGTACGTACCAATCCCGCGATTCGCGCCCGATATCAGGTATACAGTAGGTGACATGGTCTGGTGTGATGTGTGAAGCTCAAAGGGCTGTGGGAAGGTGCTGAGAATTGGTGTCCTGTCTGGTCCCCATCCGATGACGTTTTATATTATTGGGATGCGTGGTGCTGAAGGAAACCACGACGTTGGAAGAGTAAGCAAAGCAGTGAGCAGAAGTGGCCAGCGGTAAGCACCTGATTACGCAATCCTCCTCCACAGCCCAGTGTCTCGGATATCCATGGACGATATCCTTTCATCTCACGCACTCGAGATTCCAGAATGTGCGGCAAAAGGGTACGCAGGTTATTTCCAGTAGCTGGTTGCCAGGGTCTGGATTTCGCCAGCTAATGCTCATGGGGCATCACGGGACCTAAGTCACGAGAGAGTTCGTCCGACAGTTGTCCAGTAGTCGTCCGACGACCACAATTGTCCGCAGTTCGGCATCTGATACTCCGTTGCTTTGCAATAATATTTCACCGCCAGAATGTTCGCAGCGGCGAAATGACGTATCTGACATGACAAACCCTTCAACTGCGATAATCACGGATGCCCAGTGAGTCAGCGCCTCATAGCGTCAGCTGCAAGTTCTTCAATCAAGGTTCGTGTCTTCACGGAGTGTGGCCTAGCCAGGGTAATATCTATCAAAGGAAGTCAACAACGTGTCTGAGAAAGCTGGGTCGGCCATATTAGCTAGGTATTGTAGAGAACCGTTTTGTTTACCTGCCATGTGTCGCTCCATCAGGTCGGAATGTCCTCGGACAGGGAAGATAGCTCGACCAATATGTCTTCCAGATCATACGGCATCCCCCTAGCCCAGGATTGGGCATATGCACCTTGTACTTGGCCTTAACCCCGTGATTTGCGTACACCGGCAAAGACCATAGTGCCCGGACACGATGCGTGTTAGTTCAGTGTCTACGTTGAGTTCAGTCTATGCTGTGCATGTAGATGAAAGTATTGAGACCAGGATGCGCACCTATCCCACACAGTTAGCACACTTGAGAATGGGCATGCTGAAGACGACTTGCACCAGACGTGGGATTGCTTAGAACTCGCGCTCTACGTCAGCGATAGGGTTCCCAGGAATAACTCAGTTCGGTTCCGACGATTGGAATTTGTCCCTTCTAAAGTTGGGTGGGATGAATCTGCAGATTACATTTAAAGAATGATGACCACCTCGCACAGGTCCTCAGAGAACGTCGTGCAGTGTCATTTCGTACATCTATCGTGGACTAATTACCAAGGCAGGGTGGATCCATCGTAACTGATCATTCTCGGCCCGTTCTCGTCTCGCTTCGCCTCATCCACCACCTTCAAAATCCCAGCAGCGCTCTCTTCCGTAGTAAGCATGGGAAAACTTTCGATCAGCTCAGGCGCATGTGGAATGGTATTGGATAGCATGTCCGTGTCCACAGTGCCAGGGTGAATTGGTAGGGAGACTATAGGTCAACAGCGCTTAGACGGACTCGCTTCTGGAGTGCTCGAGGGACTTACTCAGGTCAGGATATTCGTGATAGAGCCTGGCTGCCAGCCAGTTGATAGCAGCCTTACTCGTTCCATACGCAGTAGCGTTGAGTGGGATTGTAGTCCCGACCTTGATGCTTGCAGCAAGGGATGATATAGGGACGAATTTGGGGTTCGAAGTGCTGGCTTTGAGTAGCGGGTATGAGGCCTGGAAGAGAACGAGGGGGCCAAGGACATTTACCTTTAGGCCGCGTATCAGCACTGCTTCGCCCAGACAAGCGAATGAAAGCGTACAATGAAGTGCTCTTGCATAGCGTCCAGCGGGACATCCAAAGAAGAATAGAACGCATTTGATATTCCTGCGTTGGCAATCACGACGTCTAGCCGACCAGCAATCTCCTTCACCTTGGCGACGCCTTCTTCGTTATCTTCTTTGTTCGCAGAGGTAAGCTTGACGAGATGTACCCTGCCTGGGAACTTAGATTGGAGCGTTTGCAAGGCTGTAGCCTTCACGAGGTCGCGCGTGCCAGCGAATACGATCACGTCGGGACGAGCTGCAAGTTGTGTGACCAAGGAAAGACCTTTATCAGTTGGTAAGAATAGGTTTGCAGTACGGTGAACAAAGCGACCTGCCAATTCCACGGTTAGCGCCAGAGACGAGGTACACAGTGGGTGACATAGTCTTATGTTGTTTTGGAAAATTCAGGCGGCGGCAGAGGCGCTGAAAGGTATTGCACTACAGTCGTACTTAACCGGCGAGCTTTGTCCTTTGAACGGGCATGGTGATCATGGAAAGCATGCTGGCGCGCAGTGACTGCGGCAGAAAGCACGGATGAGAAGGACTAAGCACCTTACGGAATGCCGCACGGAAGAAGCAGCATCGAGCACGACTTGATATGGAGGATGACTCAAGTCCAGTCATGAGAGGCTTGTCCAATGTGGGGCCCGTAATTGGGTTTCATTGACTTATTTCCACGGCCGAGGGCCGATGTGATCCAGCTGCTCCACGCACCACGGGAGGGACTTCGTTCATCTTCGTCGCTTGTCCGCAGAAGGACAAGGTGGGATGGTCCTCAGTTCGTCGTCACACGCATGCTGCTTCGCGATCAGTTCATGCCGAAATGACCGAGTAATCATGCTTACGCTCATATACTCCTCATTTCTAATGGTAGTTCAGGCCCAATAATAGATCTAAGCCAAGTCTAACAGAAGCTGATCATGTATCACAAGCTCAAGCCACGTTTTCTTTGAACCCCAGAATAGACCAGTCTATCCAAAGGAAGTCGAGATAAGACCAGCGTAAAATCCTGGGTGATTCGTAAGCCGTTGATAGGGCGACTTTTCGCGGTCTTGCTTGTTTTGAGGTTGGCAATCGTTTTCCTCCTGACTTCGGGGCATGTGCTCCTCTAAGAGTGAGCAAATGGGACAAAACTCAGCCTCACGGAGCCAGAATCATCTGGTACCCATACCGACTGAGGTATACTGCAGTTCTGCATGGTTTGGTAGTCCCTGCAGCAGTATGATCTGGTATTTGTTGTATCTGACATGGTACTACTCGGTATTACATAGTATCATCTCAGTATGCAATGCAATACCAATTGATACTGAACTATACTGTCTCATACCAATCATTTTGGTATTCCGGTATTGGTACAGTGTTCATATGCATTCTGTGGAGACCCCATATTACTCCTCATAGTCACAGCACCATATTTCTCAAATGTACATTCTTCCTGCTCACCTAAGTGCTCACTCGGGGTCTACATCAGCTTCTGGTGTTCTCTTCTGAACCTGATCCACCTATGTAATTACACTACTGCACCCAAACATTGGTAAATACTGAAATGCTTCTTTCCATCAATTCTCCTTTGTGATGATTCCCAATGCATCTTTTGGTGCCTCTGGCTTCTGTTTACTGTGGCATACCATATGTTCACATAGCATACCTTTTTTTCACCTTGATCTCTGTCTTCTTTCCTCCCCCTTTCTATCTATGCTCTCATTCTGTCTGTGATATGTCTACACTTGTATGGGACCTCCCCACACCTTGCCTCTCTGTGGTGTCTCTGACACAGTGATGCTTGTGTTGGAGGTTCACAGTTCCCTCCACTCACCCAGGTCTTCCTCAAAATGGTGGCAGTAACATCCCACTCCATACTGCAACCCTTGCCATACCCTGCCATCACTGTGGCCATGCCTTAGCCACCCATTCTCTACCATTCAATGCATTATCCACAATGACCTTGTACCCCACCATTTCTACCAATCCAGCTCCTCTGGTGCCATCCAACCTACCTGGTCCTCCAGCCAGCTCACATCCATATTGCCCAAATGACCCTGCTCTATTAGCAAATCTTCTCAGCATCTTGGCCCCTCCAGATTTCAGTGACTCTAGCACACAGGATGCTATTTGCCATTTGGTTTCATTGCAACAAGAACAGCACCTTATGGAACAACTACAGGACTCTGAAAACTGTATCACCTCAGAGAATGTGCTCTAACAGTGTGCAGCTCAATACTGCACCTCACCCAGAAGGTCGACATGTGCACCAACATCCTATTCACACCTGCCATGTCCTTCTGCCTGGTACAGCAAATCACATTGAGATTATGGTTCTCCTTCAGGTGTACTCTGCCTATCCAAATGCCCTTGACATGGTTTGTTCAAATCACCTGCACTTATTCAATTCCTGTGTTATATTTGTCTGTTCCAGTCTTGTTGCTCAGGAAATAAGCAATTTGTCTGGTCTCAACTCTCTTTTGTCAAAGCATAAGAGTGTTTCTATTGTCCTCCTACATGCAATTCATCCTCAAATATCCTTTCAGATCAAATGCATCAGGCCTCCTTTGCCTCACAACATTACCCAGCTCTACACCTGCTGCTTCATTGGTTGCCATAGCAGCATCACTTTTCCCACATGTTCAAATACTGCTGCCTTCTGACCAATTATCCCACATGGTCCCATGGGATATTGCTCAGTATACTCTTTTCCCGAAGAACAATACAATGGTTCCCTGTTCTCGCATGCCATTCACCCTTGGGGACATGGTAAAAATACTGTCCAGATTTGTTTGCCCCCAGCTGAAGGCACTTGGTATTCCTTTAATTGAATTTGGTATGCCATTGGTACAAATCCCTTTTTTGGTGGGCAACTGACATTGCTCTCCAAGCCCTGACTTATGGAGACCTGGATGACAATGCCCAATGTAATGCTGAATGGCTGTTGATGGATCATTTTGTAAGTGATACTGACACTTCTGGTCAACATGTGGCTAAGTGTCAGGGCACCAGCTCATTGCTTGGTCAAGAGACATGACTAAGCCTTTATGACATGGAAGTAGCTGGTATACCTTGGCATGTGCTGGAACCTGCTGGAAGGATTGGATGGTCAGGTGACCTGCTGTGCATGGCTGTGCATGACCTCATATGACCTCATCCTTGGTCATATGACCTGATCACCTGACTAGGCTGAGTAAGCAAGATGTTCTACCAGGTTCCACCACAGAGGTATAAATATAAGGCCTACTCTGCCTGGGGACTGTCTCTTCAGACTTGGTCTCTTAGGATCATCCACAGGTACCTATACTGTAGATAGGTCTTAGTCATCAGGTCTACTCCACTTCCTTGTTGCCTGCTTAGACTCTTGGCACTCTTAGGTGAGCAGACTTAGTCAGCCTGTGTTGCCCTAACAGAAGACCAAGTCTCCAAGTGACAACCTCTGCTTCACCACTCCACCTCTACTCTTACCTGCCTTTACTCTTACCACACACACCCAACACCTGCCTTATTCCATATCCACCATTATGGAACAAGCAGAAGAATTCCCTGATCCCATTTCTATTCTTCAAGCACAGGTCCTAGAGCTGACTCAGCAGCTCCAACAGCTTATGACAGCTTCCTGGAGTAATCAGCCTACAGCCCCTGTGTCTAATCTCCAACCCAATAGTAACTATGACACCACTACCTATGGTGACAATAGTCATGGAAACCAGAG